CAACCTTTAACTCACTCTGTGGCCTCAGGCAGGCCACTTTACCTCTCTGGACTTCAGTTTTCTCTTTGTGATTCGAGGGGGTTGGTGTAAAGCCCTCTCTGCTTGCCAGTTGCTGGGATTCAGTGACATAGAGTGGCTATTGGAATGCAGTGCAAATGGACATGGCCAGAAGACTTGAGTTCTCTATAGACCTACTACCTGGAAGCGCTCAGTCTTGGGTCCCGGCTGCTGGCTGCTCCCCCTGGTGGTGCATCATGAAATATCCTCATGCTGAAACAATGGTTGTGGGAGGGGGGTGGGCAGAAGAGGCTGGGCCAATTCTTTGGAGGGATATGACTAATTTATCGATTTTTATCAGTTTTTATCTGTTTCCTATTTATAAGGCTTATTTATGATGTGTATTTAATGTTAATATTGTGCCAACATATATTTAAAACTTGCCTGGTTTCTAAAGCCCCTGTGTCTCTCTGTTACCTTGTGGGAAAGGATTTGGGAGAGTCTGGCCTCTTGAAGAGACAGAGGCTCCGACTTGGGGTGTCTCAAACACAGAAAGGGCATTTATCCCATCTGAACGTGACTCCTTGAGATTCTAGGGGCTAGGGTTGTCGGGGTTTAGGAGCAAGAAGAGAGGGAGGAAGGCTGGAGCTGTGGTTCCCTGTGGGTGTGTGGCGTGGCTGGGAGTCTGTATGCTGATGTGGGTTCCATGAAATAGACAAGATACTAACAGATCCTGCCTCAGACGTGCCCTGTGACCTGCTCTGTCCTTGAACCTGCTTCCTGGGGGGCCCTAAGGGGTAGGAATTCCACCTGGCCACCAGAAAACTGGGCTCCCTCCTGATGCTCAGAAGCCCCACCTTTTCTTTAATTTTGAAATTTCTTAATGCGTGAAAAGAACATCCCCAAAACAGAACAGGTATTGACTTAACAGCAAAGCACTATATAAAGGAGCCCCTTCCCCACTTAGTAAATAGGGATATAGTATAAACAGATGTGAAAGAAGGTGAACCCTTGAGGATTAAATGCAAACCCTAAAGTTGTACACAATATGACGTTGTATATATGCCAAGGAAAGCTAAGGCAGCAGCTACAAAGGAAGAGCTAACAGAAGTGGATGAACTTGACCTGGATCCGTCCCTGGCCACCCCACCTCCTGGGACTGGGGGCCAAGATGGGAACAGGACTTAACATCAGGAGTGGAGGAGAGCCTCATGTGGGACTCTCTGTAATAGATATGATCCACTTTGCAGATGAGAAGACTGAGCCTTAGGGAGACTGAGTGACCTGCCCATGTCCTCAGAACAAATTTACAGGGATGGCGGGCATGTGTTGAATTCAGGTCCTTTAGATGCCAGGGCAGGAGCATCTTCTGTTACCCTTCAGCCTCTGTAACTTGGCCAACAATGTCATTGAGTCCCTGAGGGCACAAAGCTCCCAGGCTAGTAGGCAGACAGGCAACAGACATGCAGAAGAACCAACAGGACATTGCAGCATGAGCATGGCAAAAACTAACGCGGGGTGATGTAACAGTGAGAGACCCAAGCAACAGGGGTTGTCAGGGTGGCATCTGGAAGAGGCAACTCTGAAACCGCAATGATGCACAGGAGAAGGGGCGGGGCCTGCAGGTGGTGGGAATGGCTAGGCCAAAGGCTCCAAGCATTCAAGGATCAGCATATAGTGAGTGGGGGGCATTGCTGATTTATCAAAAAGGCCCAGACAAGGAAAGTGTCTTACTCAAGATCACAGGTGGAACTCCAGTGCAGAACTCCAGGCCCTGACTCGCAACCAGCAGTTTTCCCGGGCCATGCCCAGTGTGTTCCAAGTGATTTACCAAGTACCTAGTAAGAGCTTCCCGCTGTCCCCCACTGGGCTCTCCCTTGCTCTCAAGGCTCTGGCCACACAGGCCAACTTTTGGCTCCTGATATGCCCAGGGCTCCCTCCTACCATGAGGCTTCTGCCTGTCATTTTGATCAGTGCATCCTCAGCTATTCTTCCCTATCACCCATGGTCTGGGTCCAGCAATTTGGTTATCTGAAAACTGTCTTATTGGCAGGCCCTCCCTTGCTGTGATTTTTTACCATCTGCCTCCCCTCGCTGGCCTGGAACCTGCTAAGAGGGAGACGTCATCTGCTTCCCTCTGCTCCATCCCAGCACCCAGCACAGTGCCTGCACCCAGGAGGCGTTCATCGAGGAGCAGGGCAGGTGGGGCCCTGGGGGGAGTCAAAGAGCTGAGCAGCATGCCCTGCCCTAACATGGGTGTGGGGGGCTTTCCTGAGGCTGAGCTGCTGGGAAGCTGTGGGTGGGAGGTGGCAGACACTGAAAACCAGGCACGCTCAGGTTCTCAGAGCGGAAGGGGAGTTGGGGCTGCGGCAGGGCGTGCGGTTGCCCACGGAGTGAGCAGAGGTTGGTCTGTGGAGGAAGAACTGGGAAGCCCGGGGTGGCTGCCCCCCCACCCCTGCCTGGGCCCCTTGCCAGCCCCCTACTCTGTGGATAAGCCCCAGGAGAGGTGTCTGGCTTTGAGCTGGAGCAGCACCCACCACCCACCTGCCCACGTAGGAAGCAGATCAGGGAGATCCAGAATCTGGAGAGGGAGTCTCAGGGGTCCCACCTCCGAGGACTTGTCACCTCCATGCTGTGCCCTGAGAGACCATGGCTGCAGGTGCCCCCGAACTATCAGCTCCAGCCCGGCACTCTCTCAAGCATAAAGACCCAATTGCTAGAAACGGGGAGCTGGGAGCCCTGTGGATACCTCAAGGCCAAGGTCACCCCCACCCCACAACTGATCCCTGCTTCCTGTTTGCCCCCACAGAAGTTCCAGAACCCCAGTCCTCACCTTCTCTCTCAGCCTCTTCTCTCCCCATTGATCACAATGTCCCGTGGTTTCTCCCACATCCTGCCTCAGGCACATGCCTCCCTCTCTCCCGACAGACAGTTAGGTCCTGGCTCCCTGGACATGGTCAAAAATCTCACTGCTGCCCTATTTTTTTGCTCACAAGCCTTCAGGGACTCCCTCCTGTCCTCCTGCTGTGGCACCAATTGCAAACCCCTCATCATATGTAACATGCCAGGCCCCTGCTCTCATGCCCAGCCAGCTTTGCTAGCTCATGTCTGTGTTCGATCCACACTCTGCTGGTCCCCCACCCCATCCAGGGCTCCTGACCTCCCCAAAGCCTACGTTTTCCCACCCCCAGCCTGCTACCCTCCCACCTTGAGCCCTAATTCAAATGCCCTCTCCTCTTCGATCTCCCCATCCAGAAGGGCTTAGGTGCCTGCCTGCAGGGCATCATTTTTGGAGTCAGCATCTAGAATCAGAATAAGATTTATCTGATCATCCCAGTGAGATTGGGGTTCCCACAACCATCTGCTGTGACAGGCAGTGGGGCAGGGCTCAAATATTGCTTTTGTGGCCCAGAGGCAGCATTTTCCCCTGGAGTGGTGGTACCCTGTGAGCGGGCAGGTAGCAGATGCTTCCTCCCCGGTGGTTGTGTGAAGGGTGAAGGGACAAAGTGGCCCTGTGCCCCAGCTGAGCTGGCACAGGCTCAGGAAGATAAAAGGGTCCTGGCCTTGCTGCAAGCATCAACTCAAAGCCAGGTTTTCTTTTTCTTTTTCCAGTTTTTCAATGGGACACTCAGCCCCTCAGTCAACTGCATTTAACACACAAGGATGGAAAGTTCCCCAGGATAGGGGCCCAGAGGGCAGGGAAACTACTGGGAAAAGGCAGGGATGGGGTGCCCAGCACTCACTATCTACCTGCCAAACAAACTCAGGGCTTGCAAACAGCAGAGTCGGGTCTTTGGCCTCCATGACCTTCACTGTCCACCACTATCAATGTGATTCTTTTCTCCCTTTCTCGAGGGATGAGAAAATACTTGAGAGTCAAGCAAAATGAGTTCAAACCCCAGCCACTCTGCCCTTAAACCTGTGTGACCTCTGAAGCCGAGCCTCAGCTTTCCCCTCTGTACAGTGGGCTAACTTGGCTCACCTCCCTGGCTGTAAGATTTCCCAGGAGAAAACAGACAGACACACACACACACAGACACACACACACACACACACACACACAGAGCGCTATTTCAGCATTATCATAAGCTGTCGCTGAGCAGGTGCACAAGCAACGTTCTCTTTATTTTCTCTCTCTCTTTTTCTCTTCCTTATTGGTTTTCTTCAGAGCTTCTCTCTCTTTGTCCCTGTCCCCCTGCGCTCCCCCCCTCCACACCAGGCCCGGGACCCTGAGTGCACACAGAACCCCTTTTCCATGCTGAGGCAATGCTCATAGTCCACCGTCAGCGTTGGGGAGGCCTTCCGCTTGGCCAGCCCCACTCCCTGCTTCCTGGGGCCGCCCCAAGGGCTGGGCTCTGCTCCCTGGCGCGGGGAGGGGCGAAGGTCTCCCAGGGAGGTGGGTTGGGCAGGTGGGGCCCTGGAGCCTGTGGAGGAGGGCCAACCAGATGGGCCGGGTGACTCCGGGGTTCTGAGGTGGGTGCCAGGGCAGCGCGGGGTGGCTTGGGGGGCCACTCTGTCGGGGGTGGGGGCGGCTGCGGCCCTGTGACTCTCCTGGGTACGGGGACAAGGGGCATGGCCCTGGTGCACACGGCTTGTGGCAGGTCTGAGTCAAAACACCTAAGGCCGACCCCGGCCGGTCATGCGGAGGGCTGCTCAGTCATCGCCTTATGCTGGCCTGGGTCACCCAGGCAGGCTGGGTGCGGCCCAGTCAGTTGTGACTCAGGTCCCAGCGGCCTTGCCACGCAGTGCTGGGTAGGGGTGCTGGGCACAGGGTCGCCCCCTCCCCACCCCCAGCCCCACTTTACTCCTCGGCCGCCCCGAAGACCCTGCCCCACCTGTCAGGTGCAGTCTGGCCAGGAGCCTGCGGTTCTCTGCCCCTGTTGCACCCAGCCCTTCAGCCAGGGGGTGGGGTGGAAGTGGGGGGAGCCTCAGGGCCACCCGGCACTTGACGGGAAGTCAAGTGGGGGGCAGTGTGAGGAGCTGTCTCCAGAGAAGATTCACCAGGAAAGGGAAGCAGAGGGGGCCTGGCCCTGAAGTCGATGGTGTCCCACTGAAGATCTGGAAAACACCTGCAAGACTCCTGGGGGTCCTGCGCAGGCACAGACCACGGTAGGCCTCCCTGATGGGGCAGGGCTGGGGGGTAGCTACCAGCCCCTGAATTTATCCTCAGCAAGAGCAAATCCTCCAGTGTCTGGGGGAGGGGAGTACTTAGTGGCCCATAAGCCTCGGTCTTCTCAGCTGTGTAACGGGCATGTAGGACATTCCCTGCCCATCTCACCAAGGATGTTGAGGTAAAGTGGACAGACTAGAAGCGAAGTGTCATGGGTCACTAAGGGGTTAAAGATCCTGGAAGAGCAGAGGAGAGAGAACTAGATGGAGAGGCCAGAATCCTGGCATTGCATGATCCCAGAGGGGTCACCCTCTCCGGGTTGGGGGGTGGTGGGGGTCTTGATTCCTGGATTCCCAAGGGACCTTCAGTCCCCTTTACCCCAGAGCAGTAGAGGGTTCTGAGTCTGTGGCAGCCTAGCTTTTCCTTAGATGGAGATGTGGCAGGCGGAGGGTCTCTGTACTTCTAAAAGGGGCTGTGGTGGGTCATGGGGTGGCCTCCGCCTGGTTCTGCTTTGGGGAGAAGGGTGGGGATCTTTACCAAAGTGAAGTCCCTCATGCGAGGCTCTGGGGTGTGTGGTCAGTCAAGGTCATGGCCCCTGCACTTTTGACCTTGGGCCAGCACAGCAGGACTCGACCACTCTGCTCTGTTCACTCTGTAAGAAGCCCCAGCTCATAAGGCCATGGTGAAGAAAAAGGAAAAACATAACCGAAGTCTGTGCAGAGCTTGGCACCGCAGGAGGGGGCTTGTTGGCACAAATAACACGGAAAGGGGCTGGACCCCAATCTTGTCATCAGCAGCTCCTGACTGCGGAGAAGCTTCCGGGATGGCGGGGACATTGTACCCAGGGCCTGTCCCACGGGGGGAACTGGGTGGTCCTGGGGCCTGAGGTGGGTGGGAAGGGGCGGTGGTCTCCCCAGCTCCCTCCTTCCAGATCTCCAGCTGGATCGAGGGACGCCGCCCCCACCCCACCCCACTGAGTGTGGTCCTTGGCGCCCCCTTGCGGCCGGTCCTCAAAGCTGTCCCCTTCCCTACCCCCAGCAGGTGCTGGGCCAAGCCGAGGCCCCTCCAGGACCCCTCCGCGTGTCTTCTTCCCCTGCCTGGGCCAATGGCCTCTGCTTACCCTCCATAACGAGCCTCGGGCATCCCCGCCCACTTCCTCAATCCCCAAATCCCGCCCTGCCCAACCCTGGGGGAGGCCCCGACCGAGGCACGCCAGCCTGGGGCTTTGGTGGTGCTGTGGCCAAGGCAGCCGCTGCTGGCTGGACAGTGGGTGGCGCTGCAGCCCGCGGCTTGGAGCGGACCTAAGCGGCTGGGCGTAGGAGAACGCAGGGCCGGCAGCCGGGGGGTGGGGGGGGGGTACCTAGCCCTCAACCATGCTGGGCCCAGCTTTCCAGGGCACCTGGAAAGCTTTCTCTATCCTCCATGACCAGACCCCAAAGTCCACACCTCGAAAAGCCTTTTCCAGATCCTTGGAGACTGGTGGCCTTCTCTAGACCTGTTTTACCGCTGGGGAACCTGAGACTCCAAGAAGCTTCCTTCTGGAATTCTCACAACTAATGGGGACTAAAACTCAGGGTTCCTGGTCCGCTGTCTGGGAGTCCAAGTGAGGCAGGCAGCCCACATGCTGTTGGGGAATGTGCCACTAATTTGCTTGTGGCCTGTGGCCTTGGAAAAAAGCAGCTTCCCTTCTCTGAGTCCCACCTGTGAAATTTTAACAGCCAGGTTAGTATCAGTAACTCAGGCACACCCTCCAGAGGGTGTTGCTCTCTTCGTGGGCTGATGACAACAAGTCCCATTTTGTAGAGTGACGAGGCCCCCTGTCTGAGGGCCACAGCTCATAAGTGTCAGACCTACGGCCAGATCTGTGGTCTGGCTGATGGCTGAGCCCACCTAGTTCCCCTCCACAGCCCCCAATCTCATCTTCCCAACATATTCCCTTTACAAGTGGGGACCCTGATGCCAGGAGAGGCCATGATGGTCTCTAAGTTCCCTCCTCCTCCCGAGACCTCTTGGGAGGTAAGTGGGCTTCTCAGAAGGGAATCTAAGGATGGGGAACTGCAGACCACCATCCTCCTTCTGTGAGGGTCCCCTGTTGGCCACCCACTGGCCAGAGTGAATGTGGGATCTCCTAGCTGCTGAGGGGCTGGCAGGGAGACCGGCTCTCCAGACGGCCCACTGTGATCCCAGGGCAGGCCGTGTCCCACCCAGAAAGAGAGGAAGCGGAAACGGGGTCCAGGGGTGGGGTCGGGGTGGAAGGGGCCCCGCTGGGCAGGAGATCAGAGCAGGATTGTGTCATGGAGTCCTGTGGCTGATAAGCAGCTGAATGGCCAGCCCAAGCAGAAGGAGGGGCTCCCTGGGGAAGACTCATCCTGGGGACCCCCAGGCCCCTGTTGCCAGAGAGCCCTGCCCATCCTGGCCCCTATTGTAGGGAGCCTGCGGGGGTCGGGGGGTTGTGGGGGACAGAAGTGGCAATGTCACACCCTGTGTGACCTCTGGCAAACATTCAAATCTCTGAGCCTCAGTTTCCAAGTCTGTGAAACAGGATTAAAATGCTTCCCTTGGAAGTGGGCGCTAGGAATGGAGATATTAAGGGGCTCTAGGCAGCACTTTGTAATGGTTTGCTTTGGGGGACATGGGTGGGAGAGAGGCCCCTGATGGCCTTTAGGGTTGGCAGTGTGCCAGCCATGTGCCCCAGAAAGGGCGGGAAGCAGGGGTGGAGTGGCCCAAAGGGGCAGGTTTTGTGGGAGACAGGCATCATTTCCACGTTGCCTGAGGGAGGCAGGGGGAGGCCTGGCCTTCTCCCTGCTCCCCACGAGCTGCTCCCCTACCTGGTCCAGTCCCTCCCCTGACTTCAGGGAGCTCCCCCTTTCTTCACTTCCCAGGGAAAAGAATGGTCCAACCCTGACTGGGCCTCTTTCCCTCCATCCTCCCCACCCACCCACTGGGAGGGGGCCACTCTATCCTCTCCATCTTACCACCTCCCACCCACCATCCTCAGAACATTTCCTCAGTCCCTACAGGCACTGAGGGACAGTTTGGAGAGAGGGCCTGCCTGCCTCCCTGACATCATCTCTGGGGTCAGGTCGGGGTGGCTCCAGTGAGCTTGACTCTGGAGGGAGGCTGGGCCCCACCTCTGGCTGGCCAGTTTCAGGCTGAGTGGGTCCCCGGGGCTGCTTCCTGTTCTGTTTATTGCCTCTGAGTTCAGGAAATCATTGAGTGAAACATCCTCCCCCACCCCCCCGCCCCATGATTATTTAATAGGAGCCGAGCTGTGGTCTCTCTCTTTTGGAAAAACCAGTGGGAGAAGGAAGCTGTCAGCTCAGCTCTGACATCAGCTTTGTCCCTGCGCCAAAAGTCAGGGTGGTCAGGGCAGGGGGGCCTGGGGCGGGGTGGGGAGGAAACCAGCTGTTGGTGGCCCCCGTGACGTGAGGCTGCCACACGGTTCCTAGGGGTGGGAGCTGGAGGGTGAGGAGCAGGGATTTTGGAGACACACTTGGGACACACACACACACACACACACACGCACACACACACACACACACACACTTCGTGCGCAGGGGTCATGCCTCACCACTTGTGCCCAGAGACCCCCTGCCATGCAGACTCACACAGACACAAGGTCAGACACATGCTTGCCCAGGATTCATGCACACGGTCACTTACACATCCACACAATCACAAAGAGGGCTCACAAAGTCAGCCAGAGCTGTGCATGCTTCGGCCCTCTCCCATAAGCAAACAGACCAGCACAGACACACATGTGCACACTCACAGGGTCAGACACAGCCCAATGCAGACACATGCCAACACACAAAGACCCTCACTACACACACACGCTCATGTGTGAATGCCCATTCAGACCCAGACAGACAGACAGACCCCTGGGATGCCCCGCAGGCGCTCCCAGACACAGACTCCTCTCTGGGTTGCAGGCTACCCTGGGAGGGGGGATGGTAGCCACTTCCTCCTGCTGCCACTGGCGGTGAGGATGAAGGGTTCCCATGGAGGGGTGAGGAAAGACCCGTGACTATCCCCGCCCCACCCAGGTGGGGCAGGGTGGGGCGGGGAGCTGGGGGTCTGAGGCTGCGGAAGGGAGTGGACAGTGAGGGGCTGGGCCCCCGGGAGGGCCTTTGTCCCACACGGGGTGATGACAGGCCTCCACCCCACACCAGGGGCGCTTGCCCCGCCCCGCCCCGCCCCGCCTGCAGCACCTCCTCCCATTCCTGAGCTGGAAGGGACCGCGGATGACATGGAAGTCCCGAGTCTCATGCTGTCAACCACTGAGTGACCTTGAGCCAGTCACTCCTCAGCCCCTCAGGGCCTGGCTTTCATCACCGATACCAGTGGCTTACAAACGTTTTTGACTGAGACCCACAGTTAGAAACACATTGCACCTTGCAACCAGAGGATGATGTGTGCGCTGACACATAGAGACAACGGGGGGGGGGGGGGATAAAAAAAAGTTTGTGGAGCAGCGCTTGCCCTTGCTCCGGGCGATGCCCGGTGATTCGGCTATTCCATTTCCTTTCTGAAAGTGCTGGTGGCAACCCTCTAAATTGAATCCATGAGCTGCCAAGTGGCTGGCCTCCGAAACCCGTAGTGTGATAGCCTTGCTCTCTCCACGCGCCGGCTCGGGTCTCGGGCTAGTTGGAGACTCCGGGAGAGCCTAGAGGAGGTCCAAGTGCTTACAGAGACTATGCTGAGGAATGGTGAGAGAGGACAGCAGCCCATTCTCAAGATGGAGATGCTGAGGGCAGCAGACCCGGGAGCAGAAGCGGGCTTCATGTAACGACATGGACCTTGGAGGCAGGCTTCTGACCCTGCCGGTGATGTGATCTGGGCTCTGTGGGCTGTTGCTTCCCTTGCAATTTCTATCAGAATTGAAGAAAAAATGCAGTCACTCTGATTCACCTCCAAGGGGGTGATTCCTGACGCAGGACGAGTCGGGAAATGTCCGTGTAATGATGGGGGCAGTTGGCTGCAGGCCAGGATGGCTTCT